GGTCAACCAGAAGTGCATTAGGAGTATTTCCACAGCAAGCAGATAAGATTTAATGCTTCATTTCACTCTTTGATGGTTTAGAACAGTAGTTCCCAAACTTGTTCCGCCGCTTGTGCAGGGAAAGCCCCGGGCGGGCCGGGCCAGTTTGTTTATCTGCCGCATCCGCAGGTTTGGCCGATCGCGGCTCCCAATGGCCGCGGCACACTGCTCCAGGCCAATGGGAGCTGCTGGAAGCAGCGCGGGCCGAGGGACGTGCTGGCAGCCGCTTCCAGCAGCTCCCGTTGGCCTGGAGCAGTGTGCCGCAGCCACTGGGAGCCGCAATCGGCCAAACCTGCGGACGCGTCAGATAAACAAACTGGCCCAGCCTGCCAGGGACTTTCCCTGCACAAGCAGCAGAACAAGTTTGGAAGCCACTGGTTTAGAATCATGCTCACATCCACAGGAGCTTCCCCAGGTCTTCCAAGGCGTTGTGCAACAGATACAGTTGCCCACTCAGTGCTGCACTCCACTCCCTTCTCCCTGTTTCTCTTCTAGCCATGATATTATTGCACCAAAAAGCCACTTAGTTCTTTTATGGCCCTTATGATGGTGGGCTGGTGTCCATGAGCCAGAATTGACCTTTACAGTCTCAGCTAAGGTATTTGAAAGAAACCCCAATAGCCAAGTGATAGAGCCATCTTTTTTTTTTTTTTTAATTTAGATGAATTTACATAAGTACAAAGCCAGCTTTAGAAAAATGCAAGTTTCATTGCATGCTTTATAACCAAATTTGTCTGCAGACCTTGATACAACAAGCATGAACAGCAAGAGCTATAGACAACAAGTTAACAATTCCACCCCTAGCCTCATCAGCGACGCAGCAGAGATGGCCCCATTACAGCCTGCAGGAATTCCGGTATACCCTTTGTAGTCTGTCACTTTGAGTGCTTCCAGGACTTAACATGGAGTCTAGACTAATCTTCAGCTACTGCAGATGGTCAAGATGTAGAGTTCTTTAGCTGATTAGCTAGTTTAATGAAGTTGGAAGAGAGTTGTTTGTTCTCACTTTGATCTTAAACAAGCCAGGGGAAGAGTGCCTATGGCAAGCTATAGGCTGGATTCAAAGCAGCAGAAAGGGCAGGTGTGAAGGGATTCAGAACCCCTGGTCAGATTTTGGAGAGTCCTTAGAAAGGGTCTCTTCTCTCCTTCTGTAGCTGGAATGGAGTGTGCACTGGAAGCAGTATTTTGGTACTGGGTGTTCCAGGATTTCTAGAGTGGGGGGCCTGATGCTTTTCCTCTGCAGGAGTTTGAGTGTTGGTGGGTGAAAAATGGGAGGGGTGAGTCACTGGGGAAGGGGAAGGGAGGGGAGGGGAGGAAGGAAGGAGTAAAGCTGTAGGTATTTGGTAGTCTGAGCTTGCTTGTCAGCAGGATTTCCAGAACTCTGAACCACAAAATGGTTTCATGTTTGGGATTTTCACCTCCATAGTTCAGTCCCTTAGTTGAGATACCTCATATAGGTATGCGCCAAGCAGCTTCACTCCCTGGATGTAGTTATACCTGGGGAGAAGAGTTTTGTGCATTAGTCTGATCTGGTCTCTGTTCTTGTGAGCACCCACTGACATCAGTATCTGCAACACAAGTGCATTCTGCCTGCATCAAGAGCTGCCAGACCAACAGTATGAGAGAAGTTAAGCGAAGAGGAAGCTAGCAAGACTGTAGAATTGCAAGTGACTGTATGCAGTGAGCATTTAGTACACAGAGGTACATAACCAGTCATAGCTCCTCTACAGAAGGAGCAAGATAAATCCTTTCAGAGAGAAAGGAGAGATAGCAACCAGCACCACAGGTGGGTACTGGTGCATTTCAAGGCTTGTACTATGGCCCCCAGCTGGTACAGTAACAAGTAGAGCTGTGCAAATAGCTGCTTTCTTTTGGTATGGTTGCAATTCCAAAACTACCCTTGATCAAACCAATGAAATGTTTTGTTCAACCTGAAACATTTTGATTTGGGGGCATTTAATGTTTGTAATCTAATAAAATTGAAGGAAAACGCAAAAAGTGAAAAATTGAAATGCTTTGGCTGTTGCTAAATCTACATTTTTTTTAATCCAAAAATTTCGCCCAGTTCATCAAGACACCACGGTGTCTCTTACCTGTTCAGTTTCTCATTTTGAGAATGGGCACCATCATCTGCAGCTCCAACAGGAAGCAGCATTACATTTTTGCCTGTTGCCTCTTGGAAGGTCAGAGTGACAGGAATGCTTCCTCCCTCTCTTGTCAAGTCTGGCTCAACTCCAAAGACTAAAAAACAAATAGTTTGTGTCAGTTTTCCTGAGTTATTGCATCTTCCCCAGCATGTTTCCTTACTAGATCACCTTCCATCTTTGGGGATCCCAAAGAACTCTGAAGGGCAGATTTGACCCACTGGTGGCCAATGTTTGCTGCTATGAGGAGGGTGCAACCAAAAAGTAGAACTGGCTTCCTGATCCCCGCTTCTAGAGTTTAATGCACAAAAACAAAGCCAGAGTCAATGGACTGGTTCTAGTATGATGCTAAGGGAAAACACTTCCTATTGAACCACTACTTGCTGCAGCACCTTGGGTTTTCATCCTAGTATTGACCAAGTAGGACTGTGTACATCTTGGTATTACACCTGCATAGCTCCTTGCTTACCAACCATACTATACAATCCTGACATCTTGCTGCTACGTTGATATTACCATTTAATGCTGGCACTAGTGAGATCAACATTTGATGTGTCAGAACAGGCTAGACTTAAATTCCCAAATTTTAAGTCCACTGACCTGTCCTCATTGCTCTTCTGCCAGCCATGTAGTGGGGATGATTGAAGTCTGACACCCAAGGTTTTCCACCATGGCCCATGTATACTCTGAACTTATTGGGACTTTGCAGCTCAGCAAACTTCTTGGTGAGGTAATCCTGAACCTTTTGTACCAAAGGATTGAACAATTAGAAGTCTAGGATTAACACATTCAGAAGTGTTATACAAGTGCCTGTTGGGTCGTCTTACTAGATAGACAGATTGTAAGTGAAGCTAATGTAGCAGGAAATGTCTGCCTGAAGGCTGTTATTGTAACACACACTCAGAGCAGGGACAGTGTCTTCCTGTATACTGAAAGCACCTTGTGGGCAGTGTTAGAATTATAAAAAGTCAGTTAACATGTCACAAATCTAGATTAGCAAGAGGCCAACTGCCAAACTAGCTAAGACTTCTTCGGTTCTAAGAGTTGGTTAGATTGCTGTTACTAGAATTCTAACATGCAAAAGCCCCATCAGCTTGGAACCCTAGTCCGTGCTAGGTACTGCACAGAGACAACCCCTGCCTCAAGTAGCTACTCATACAATGGCCAGATTTTTTTTTTTTTTTTTTCCCCTGACAAACAAACAAAAACACACAGCCACCTGCTTGGTGGTTCTCAGTGGGTGTTTCTGGGTGCTGAGCATTTGAAAGTCGCCACACCCTGTAAGATCCAGCCTATCAGCCTTAAGGTGAAAGTTCACTAAGCCAGAAGTTATTCACCTTCAGTGGATGTCAACCCACTAGGTATCAGATTCATGCAAGTGAGGCTTTCAAGTGTGTTATTGGAGCAGTCTATAATGCACCCTGGAGTTAAGTATTTATTGTTATAAACTATTTATCACAGCTGGACTAAGACACCAACACCATATCAAAAACTTCAGTTTATGGTCATGTCAGAACTAAGATGCAGCCTACATCTGCTGGATCCAAATAAAGGTCTTAGAGGTAAAGGACAGCAGAGAAGATAAAACCCTGCAACCACAGCAGTTCTAACACTGTTCAGGCTTGTACAAGGGTGGAAGTGGAAATTTTTTTAAAAAGCAAAGATTCAGCCATTCCCAACTTATACCTACCTGTTTGGCGACATCTTCTGGAGTCATGTCTGGCACTAGCCGGATTGAGAATTTGCCAGTTACTTTCCGTGGAATCACAGTCTTGGCTCCTGAGGCAGAGAAGGCTCCTTCAATTCCGTGGAGAGATAAAGATGGGTATCGCCACCTGTGCATTAAGATATTTTTCTGCAGAAAGATGGAAAAATTATTAAGAGTTAAGATTACAGGTTCAAGCATAGATAGCAACTGAAGCAGCAATTTGAACAGGGTGTTCAGATACAGTATCTGAATCAGTCCTCTCTGAAAGAGAGGGTCAGTTAATTCCTACCCTGAAAATTCAGTTTAGGCCTGATAAAAGCAGTCTTGAAAAGAAGCTTTTGCCCAGTGGTGGGGTAACAGCTCTTCTCAATATGTTCCATCTGATGCGCAATATTGGGACTGCCACTTAATCAAGAATTCATCTTGAAATCTCGTTTCCCCTAGGATTTCTGACTGGCTAAGGTGCCCAGATAGTAGGAAAAGCTTTGCCAACCGATTTGATTCTTCCTTCATATCTAATCTGGAAGCAGTTGGTAGAGTAATATTTATATGGTGTTCCATTTTAGTTCTGGCAGCCAAAGTTACAAGACAACTGGTTCTATCTGTGCATACCATTTACCCTTTGTTATAGCCAGTAAGGGCTGTCATTTGAGATAGTCTCTGGATGTGTAGAACTGCCAGTGAAGCATAGGGTCAGCTTGGGAAGTCAGTTTTGTTGTCCGTATTTGACGGACCAGCAGGTTTTTTTTTGGGGGGGGGGGGGGGGGGAAAGAGTGAAGAGTGCAAAATTTGTGGGAAAGGATTATACAAGGCTGAGAAAGCAATGTTCTGCCTTTTAGGATCAGAGATAAATAAGCATAGGAAAACTTTGTGTATGTTAAACTTGAAGACCTGTAATACGCTTGCACCTTACTACACATGAACAGCATGTACAGAAATTCCATGTTGTTTTGGAATGGTCCCACGATTCCTAAGATCATATGTATGAGAAGTTCAGACTTAGCAATCTTGTGTCAAAAGTTTAAGAGTCTGGTGACATGTTAATAACTAGTTAAGGGACTTTACTGTTAGCACGGCTGCATAATCTGACAATCACCATTAGAAGAGCACCAACGTTTGTCAGTTGCATCTGAGATACTAGTGTTTCTTCTACATTTAATATGTAGAGAAATGTGATAGCTATTGGCCTTTTAAGAGTAATTATTGCATAATACCCTTCCATCTCTATCCAGGCTCAATGGAGTAAGGATGCAGATTGCCTTCTCATTGGATCTCTCATACAGGACATTGGGGGGAAGTGAAACTGCTGCTATGAGAAGCTAGATCTCAGAATGTGTAAAGGAAAGACACTTGAGTCTAGGCTAACCTGGTTAGCCAAGATCAGTTCTCTTCCTAGAGACTTTGAATATTACCTTAACATAAGGTACATCGAGATTGAGGTGTATCATGTCATCTTTAAAACTAGTGTAAGCCGCACACTTAAAAAAAAAAAAGTCTGATAATATGGGTTTGTACTATGGTGACAGTGTGTTACTGCAGGTAACAATCCTGCAGTGGGATGAGCTATTTTAAACAAGAAGAGACTTTTGTGGGAAGATATAAAACCTATCCCAAAGGGTAGGTAGCATGTAGAAAAACCAGAAGCCAGTTTTTTCCAGTTCACTACAAATGCAGTGCACACGAACATATAGCAGCAGGAGCTTTTTTGTGCAGAAGTCAAGATATTCTGCCTATGGGGGAAAAAAAAAAAAAAAAAAAAAAAAAAAAACTAATTACAGCTGCCTCAATAGATGAATTTGGCACTGAAGTGTCCCTCACAGATGCAGTGAAGGCTTCAGCCTATAATACCTCGAATATGTACAGCAGAAAGAAGAATTTTTGAGGCGGGGACAGAAAAGGAAAGAAAGCACTGCACCTTTGTGTCATGCAGTAGTTTTGTTGCTCCCACATCTTTTGCATATTCCTTCAGGTCAAAGTCAATCTTCTCATACAACTCCAGCTCCTCATCAGTAAGTGGCGCCACTGCTTCATTAATGCCAGGGATGAGGATTTTCCCTCTCTTATCCAGAAGGGAGCCTACAAGAGAAAAGCCTGCAAGATCAGTGTCTGGGACCAGACTTAAAGTACCACTCTTCAGAGTGTTGCTTCCCTGTTACTGTTAAAAATAAAAACCCATGTCATTTGAAACCTTGGTTTCTTTAAACACTTCCTTTGTCAGGAGACAGAAAGGAAGAAGAAATGCAGTTCTAGAGACACAGGTTAGAGGCTACTCTTGAAGACTAGTTAACCCACTGAAAGCCTTCTCTATATACCATAAATAAGGGTGGCTAAATTGGGTTGTACACAGTTGAAGAGACACTTGGCAATTCTTCAGGTCAACTCTAGTTGTGAAGTGACTCATGCAATGGGTATATTCAAGACCTGCATTTCCTTGAACTTTAAGCCAGAGGTCTAATTATAAACCTCTCTTTGTCAGACTAGGTTTGAAATCAGGTTCTTCTATGGAGAGTTGTGCATTATGTTTTATAAGATGGCTGTCAGGAAAGCAGCCATTTACTGACAAGTCTGAGCTCCGGGACCATAAGTCAAGGTCTTCCTCAGCTTTCCCTGAAACCTTGATGAAAAACCATCAAAACAACTCCTCCTTCCTCAGGTGGGTATTTAAGTGTCTAGGGCATTTTGCCTGCAGTTTCTCCTGCCTGTCTCTCCTGGAACGTCACCATTTCAGTGGGGTTGGCTAATTTTAAAGTCAGTCAAATAGTGCTCAGTAAATTTGACATTGGAGCCCTTTACAGCGTAAATTAACAGTTTTAACTTGAACTGAAGAGCTTCGTTACTATGCATTATATATAGGACAGTTAGTCAAGGATGGACTGGGCAACACTGATGCTGTAGTATAAAAGGCAAATATGTTATTCTTACCCATCAGAGTAATGAGATCTGTCATGGCCTCATGTACTGAGCCACCATAAACTCCAGAGTGAAGGTCTTTGTCACTGCATTCCACCTGGTTTGAAGCAAACAAGCTTGTAATCAGACAGACATTAGTTTCGTCAGTGTTTTTAATAACCCTTCAATGGCCTACTACCCCTGGTAAAGATCAGCAAACACACTGAGGTAGCAGAGTGCTATACTGCAAGCATCTGGAGCAGACAGTTGATTATTTGAGTGCGATAGCAGCAAGAAGCCTCCACCAGGATTGGGGTCCTGTTGTGCTAGAAATTGTACAAGTGTAGCATGAGACATTTCCTACTCCAAAGGCCTTACAATCTGATTCAATGCCATAAGTCAACAGTACTTACAAAAACATCTGCCATGTTGTTCAACCTATGGGTTTCTTACCTCACTTACAGGACATCAGTTGCCTGGATTAAAAGATCCGTGCTACAACTTGCTACCAGGGATGTTTGAATCATTGCTAATCAGCAAAATATCCTGTACAACAGTTTTAGAGGTACACCCTCCTCCCAAAGCATGATAGCATTGCTCATGGGGTGTTGGGGGGAGGGGTAAAGGGTGCTATGCAAGGGGCATACAGGAATAGAGCTAGTTATATCAGACTTAAAGATAATTGCTCAACAAAAAAAAACAAAAAACAAACACACCCACACCCACCACATGTAGATCAGCAATGGATGTACCAGACTATTAATACCAAGAATTAAAATGATAGTTCTTTAAACAAAGAAGAGATTCAGTTTGTGAGCAACATGACTTTAAAAATACATGAATGGTTTACTCTTCAGGACTTTACCTCTATGAAAAAGTAGCAGATTCCCCTGAGGCCATATGTAATACACGGCTTCTTCTTGCCTAGCCAGTAGTTGTCGGAGATGCAAACATAGTCCACATCTTTGAAGAAAGTGTCTTTTTGAGCAAAAATCAGTTCATCTAGGCCTTCAGAACCAGACTCCTCCATGCCTTCCAGACAGAACTTGATGTTCACTGGGATTTCCTTTGGAGTGAAACAAGCATGGAAACATTCAACATTGCTCAGATACTAATTCATGCAGATTTGTTGTGTGTTCTTGCAATTAAAGTAAGTGTAGAATACAGGCATTCTAGTTCCAGGACAGAAACACTAGTGTAATTTTATGAAGTGGGGGACGGATAGCTCAGTGGTTTGAGCACTGGCCTGCTAAACCCAGGGTTGAGAGTTCAGCCCTTGAGGGGGCCATTTAGGGATCTGAGGGGACCCAAAAAAAAAAAAACCAAAAAAAAAAAAAAACACAACTGAAAAAGCTGTTAGGGACAGTACTTGGTCCTGCTAGTGAAGGCAGGGGACTGGACTCGACTCAATGACCTTTCAAGGTCCCTTCCAACTCCATGAGGAATATCTCCATATATTATTTAAGTGCTTGCAGTTCTACTGATGCAAAGTCCTTATTATCAGCAAAAGCTCAGAACACACAGTTCCCAAGACAACAGGCCAGACTTGCTATGTTCTATTTGAAGAATAACTTCGCTGTGAGGGTAAGATTCACAAGGGGAACTTAAGCATTGCAGCACCTAACTTTTAGGCACCCTCCTGTTTAGTGGAATTCACAACCCTGAGATAGAAATCCAGGCTGCCCATACAATGCATAGGGAGAGTTATGTGCCAAAGGGGATTCATGAATGCTGCACAGAAAGCCAAATGAGCTAGCCAGTAGGAACTGCTGAGGAGAGAGTGGCCTAATCCCTGCTCCTCAAAGGGAGTTAGGCCCATGGCACTAGGTCAGAGGGAATGTGCTTCCCTCCACTCAGGATTCACTCCTGGAGAGAGATGCTGAAACCAGGTCAGTCCTTTTTCAAAGGGATAGTGGTGGGGATGCCAGCAGCCCCTACCAGAACCTTTAGCCCAGTGGTTGAGTACTCATCCAGGATGTGGGAGACCTGGGTTTAAAGCCTCACTTTGCTGGATGTGGAGCAGGGATTTGAACTCAGGTCTCCCACCTCCCAGGTGAGCGTCCTGACCATTACGGAGTCACTTACTCTCTGGCCCAATTCGTGTTTATTTTACACGAAGTGGAACAAACTCCAACAAGAGAGAATGAGATGCCTGCCCCACAATTCCCCCATAGTGAGTAGCACATCTTCTGGGATGTGGGGGATTCAAGTCCCTGCTCTACCTCAGGCAGAATCTCAGCCCTGGGTCTCACACAGCCCAGAGGAATGCTCTGAACACTGGGCTGAGCTGTATAAGGGTACCCCCTGCTCCTTTTGTCTGGGTGGTGTGCTCAGAGAGCACCCACTGGATCAAGTTCAAAAGGCAAGGTAGACAGCCTAATCTGTGAATCCTTTCAGAGCTTGGGTATCAGACAGATGAGCTGCTGGGCAGTGTCAGGTCTTGGGCAGCACTGGGCCAGCTCAGCTGCTGAAATGTAGGTGCCTTCAGGAATTTGTTGGTGGAAACTTATGTGACTTGGGACTTTAGCTACTGCTTGACTCTGTAGGTAACTAAGCAGGGGGTTGGGAATGCCAGTGGTGCCTAACTGTTGCATGCAGGCACCTCAGTCCCCCTTGTGAATTCTGTGGTCCCTTTAGTGCTTGTTCTAAGAGCTAGTTGCTTTTTCAGCAGTTAGGCTCACCATTCTTTTCCACAGAAATAAACCCCATCTTGGCAGTACTTGGAGAGATCTTCCCCATCCATGATCTTAGTTACATTTTGTATAACTCGTTGTGTTAGAACTATTAAGAGGATTTCAGCATTAAGTTACCTTTCAACAAGAATAGTTGTACATACACCTCTAATTGTATGTACCATCAGAGGCAGCCCTTAAGACATTAAAAAATATATATATATATATTTAGCCCAAGACAGTCATCCACATCGCTACAGGTGGAGAAATGGAGGCAGAAGGATATAGTCTGCCAGAGACAATAGAACCCAGATATCCCAGACAGATGCTATTATCATAAGAGAAGCCCACAGAGAATGCTTACTACAAAGAGGAAGACAGTTCCATCTATTCATATTCCTTTGGAATCATAGGCAGCTGAATTTTTTTTTTATTATTATTATTAAAAAGGAACATGCAGTGAACTTTACTAAAAAGAAAAAACAGACATGCTACTTCTCAGAGTGTCAGCTTTACTGTTCTACTATAATATAGGGGTTGTTGAGGCATAGTAGTGATTTTCCAACAGGCAAGTTGAGCTGCATTTTGGAACATATTCCTATGTCAAGTTAGATTATCTTCCTAAACTTGGCAGAGTTGCAAATTCAGTGGCAGTCTCAATTTATCTGCCTCTCCCAGTCTCAAACTGCACGTCAGTTTTACTCCTCAGAGTCAAACTGTTAAAAATCAGAGCAGAGCGGCTTTTGACAAAAAGCCTTTAGTGGACCTGGCTAGGCTTGACTGATTCTCCTGCAAGAGGAATCAGCATTTTTTTTACAGTGGTCTCATTCCATGTTTGGCTAATAAGAAACACTGAGGGAGTAAGGACACTTGTTACAGTCTAATTGCTGCTCAGAAAGACACAAAGCTGACCAGTCAAACTAGTTATGCTATAACCAAATTGAGCAATTAGAGTATAGTGTCTAACTGCACAAAATGACAGTACTGATTTTATCTCAGACTGATACCGCACCATTACTGTATCCTTCACTAGACTTTTGACTAACTTGTGGCTAGGACAACCTTTGTACTGCCTTAAACAAGCTGAGTTTAGCAGAATATACTCTAGGTACAATACCTGTTTAGTTTGTTGATAAGCTTCTAGGGCATTCAGCCAGGCAAGCACTGGACCTTTGTCATCTGTTGACCCTCGCCCGTACAGTTTACCTACAGCAGCCAGATACAGGGAGAAGAATTAGATATGGCGGAGGAGAAAGTCTGTATGAAATCTTGTGCATACAGCTTGTCCCACCACTACCTCGATATAACGCAACCCGACATATATCCGAATTCGGATATAACACGGTAAAGCAGTGCTCTGGGTGGGTGGGGCTGCGCACTCTGGTGGATCAAAGCAAGTTCAATATAATGTGGTTTCACATATAACACGGTAAGATTTTTTGGCTCCCGAGGACAGCGTTATATCGAGGTAGAGATGTACTTTAACCCACACATGCAAGCCTTAATATGCTAGCAATATGCTGCTCACATCAGATATTCTTAGCACTAGTGTGTCTTTAGCTTTGCCTCAGATTCTTCCACGCTGGCATTGTCAGCGTCACTTGACACTTTAGGCTCAGAGTTGTGGCCTAGCATCAGGTTTGACAGAAATTGAAGTTTTCACTTGAAAAAAAAAAAAAAAAAAAAAAAAATCTTTACAAGATTGAAAACTCATTTTCATAAAGATTCAGCAGAAAAAAAGACACGGTTGGAGAACATGTAAGTGATCAAGTCACAAGAGTTCTAAATTGACTTTAGGCACTGATGAGCTACTAAAATCTTAACAACCAGTTCCCTATAAAAAGTTCTGATTTAAGGGGATGCCACAGTATGTATTTTTTGTACCAATAGGGTTACCATACGTCCTGGACGGTGATTTAAGAACCAAAAAACCTGACATCTCCAGGAAAATATGGATGTATGTTAACCTAAAGTTCTTTTTTAAAAAGATGGGCCTGAACTAGAAATGAGCTCCGTTTCACATGTGTGGGTCCCCGCCACTCCCTGGGGGTGTGCTAGGGTGACCAGATGTCCCGATTTTATAGGGACAGTCTCGATTTTTGGGTCTTTTTCTTATATAGGCTCCTATTACCCCGCCCACCCCGTCCCAATTTTTCACACTTGCTGTCTGGTCACCCTAGGGTGTGCACATGTGTGGGTCCCAGCTGCTCCCTGCCCCCCTCATTGAAGCAGGTGTGCAGGGTTACTGCCCTGGGAACTGCAGGGCACCAGTGGACATGGGGCTGGCTGCAGACAGGGTGTGGGGCAGGGCTAGCTGGAGGCAGGGGGTGTGACATGGACTGGCTGCGGGCAGGGTGGTGGGTACTCACACGGGGACAGCAGCTTGGAGCAGCAGGACGCAGGCCAAGCCCAGCAGAGCAGCCAGGGACACACCAGGCAGCAGCAAGAGCCCCAGGGCCAGAGGTCCCAGGAGCAGCAGCATGGCCAGGAGGCAGCCCACATGGCTCCCTCAGCGCAGCGCCCCCCGGCGGCCGGGAGGAGGAATTACATGCTTCCCCACCAGAGCCCATCAAAGCTTCCCTTGCAGGGGAAGCCAGTTAACAAGCGATTCTAAAACCGCTTCAAAATTTAACAACCGGTTCATGCGAACTGGTGTGAACCGGCTCCAGCTCACCACTGACTTTAGGGCCAAGTCCCTGCTATTTCCTCCACAGCCAAGTACAGACTGTCAGACAGTGAAACTAGTACTATCAGGAAAGTATTCTAAATCCTAGGTACTAAAGGACTCTGATCTAGTACAGAAAGATAAGAACTGGTGGCTGGAAGCTGTTGCCAGACAAATTCAAATGAGAATTAAGGCATGTTTTTAACAAGTGAGGGTAATTAACACCTGGAACAAGCTACCAAGAGAAGGGGTGGATTCTCTGTCCCTTGAAGTCATTAAATCAAGGCTGGATGCCTTTCTGGAAGATATGCTTTAGTCTAACAAGTTATTGAGTTCAACACAGGGCCCAGTAACTGGGAGAGAAATCCTATGGCCTGTGATATACAGGAGGTCAAAATAGATAATCTAAAGATCCCTTCTGGCCTTAAAATCTGTAAATTGGCATAGAATTCCTTCCCCCCCCCCCCCCCCCCCCAAACAGTCAAAATATGGTATTCTGCAGGGTACTGCTTTTTAAAGTCATTTAGTGTTTGAAGAGGTATTTTGTAGATCAGGTTCACCTTCATACCAAGAAATAAAATATACTAGGTGTATACATTTATTTTGCTAGCAAAAGTTTAGTGGTATAGTCCAGAAATATATTTCCTTTTTATAATTAACGCTTTCCCACATAGTTCAACTTCCAATCTCTGATAGGACTGTATAAATTGCTATCAGTCTCAGTGTTCAAGAGCAACTACAGCTAGACTGAGGATTTTCATGCGACGTCTCAGCCCTGTGCATTTAGAAGTCTAATCATCAAGCATTTGGTGCTATTTTATTAAAATGATCCTTTAGCCCAACACACATACTTTCTCTCACTAAACATAGGGAATAGTAGAAAGGACAAGGTTTTACACGGTTTTTGCTACATTGAAATATTTAGAGGACTTGAAGGTTGTTTATACAGTTCATGCAAGCCAATAAGTGTTAATGAATAGGCACCTCTTTAAGTACTACGTGCTCAGTCCTGGGGTCTAACCAAATTGTGCTCAGCAGGAGACCCAAGAAAAAGAGTAAAGGTGTCTATATGCATCTTCCATCCCTACAAACCTAAGGCCAGCCTGGGCTGGTTTAGGAACCAGAACAGAGTAGTCACAGGAGTCCTAGACATGTTACATAGCGATCCCTAAGGGAACACTTACACCGTGGGAGTATTGCCCGATTGCAGCAGAGCTCTGGCTATGCCCCCTATGTACCAGCACTAGCAAGGCAGGGCAGAACCAGTTTCATCAAGCCTCATGTTTCATTACACTAGAGGAACCATCAGCCCTTATTATGCAGCTTTATTACCCCTTTGTGCTGCTCCAGTGGCAAAGTGGGGCCAAAGCCAAGGACACGGTGCAGCCCTTTGCTCTAACTACCAGCAATGATCAAGTCCAAGTTAGCCAGCTTCATGTGTTGGAGTAACACCAAGTGATTATCAAAAAGCGATAAGGCTTAATTAGCCTGTATGTGAGGCACTGATAGATGCCTATGCATCAAAGCTAACAAGATCAATTTAAGCTAGCATGGCCTATCTTGCCAATAGATTTTTAGTCATACAACCTTTGAATCTCAAGACCATAAAAATAACTTGTGATCTGCTGAAACATGGAGAGGGACCATCATAGCAGGGCAGACGTTAAAGGATCGGGGGAGAGGAAGAAAGTATTTTCAGCACAATTTACTATTGGTGTGTGAGCAGGAATAGTTGTTACATCTCACCAAAAGAGGTGTGGTCCCCACCCCATAGCCCTTTGATGCCAGTCTGTCCAGGGGGGGAAATTCCCCCAGGCACAAGTTTTGTACAAGGCAGCTTGCACTGTTCTGTGATGCCCCCTAGTGCAGACTTGGCCAAACCCCACCTAGCTAAGCCAAAGCAGACACCATAATGGCCATTCTGGCTTGCGCTGCAAGGCAAGGCACGGCACAGGCAGCCCAGGGAAGGTGCTGTAACCTTGGCCCAGGGGACTGTTTAAGTTATGCCAGGAGTGGTTTTGGTGCCTGCTGCAGCCAAGAATCCCAGGGTCAAATGTGATGCAGAGCTACTTCCCTTGCTCTGGCCTGCTAGTTTTGACAGCACAAGAATTCAGCCCTAGTGAACAACTGCTTATGACCAGCGAGTTACCATGGAAACCAATGGCAAATTCAACACTGCCATTTCACTGTGGGTATGAGGGAAAATGTGCAAGCACTGCTTAGACTTTCTGAGCGGGAAGGAAACACCTCTAACTTGAAGGGGAAAATGTGAACACTCAAACCTCCTTGTTTACCATTTTGTTCTTAACACACTTAGAGGAAGGTTTGAAAGTTAGTGCTGCAAGCTCTTCCATTCTCCACCCTCCCCACAGGAGAGATTGTCCCAGTTAGGAGTTTAAGAGAACACTTGCTCGGATTCTTCCCAGAAAGTCTATAGCCCTTACCATCTCTTTCTACCAAGGTGAAGGGTTCACTGTCCCAGCCATCGTCCAGGGCTGCAGGTTGGACATCCAGATGCCCATAAACACACACTGTTTTCTTTTGTGGATCTGAGCCAAGTTTGCCAAGAATAATTGGAGGTAGTGGAATCTCTGACCCATCAGGGAGCTGGAAATAAGAGGAATTTTAGCATAGGATGCATTTTAATATAGGAGAGGGTAAAGTACTTAGAAGCACAGTTTTTAGATCCATAATTTGGCTTTGTAGAGTAATTAAATATCAAAGCATGCACACTTTGTTTTGTTAAAAACAATGTATGTTTTGATTCTCTCTCTCCCTGCAAGTTTTTGACAAACTAAGCACTGCAGCACTGTGCAGGTGAGAGAATCAGTGATTTTACAAGCCATGTGCAAGTAGCAAAACACTGCGGTGTTCTAAGCTACTTTGGACGGTGAAGTTAATACTTTATATTAACTATTCTTGCTTATGATTTTAAGAGGAAAGCCGTAGCCACACACAAGGCAAGTTGTTTAAACAAGATGTGCAGAGTTTGACACTTAACATTTAACTCAGCATATGAAGAGCTGAGCTCAAATTTAATACTAGATTCTAAAAACTCTTAAGTTGTACTATGGCCCTCTCCACGAGAGCTTTACACACCAAGTTTATTACCAGTTAGTGGCATGCTTGGCTCTAAATCTGGAGTGTATCCATACATGCGGTTTACACTTATAAAGTATGTTTATTAGCCATGCTTCTCCCATGACAAAGGCCTGGGCAGACTAATCTTGTCTAGTGGGCAAGAGAACCATAAAGATTAGAAGAACCTCTCCAACTCCCCCCCAAAAAAAGCCACTCCCTCCCCACATGCAGAATGAGTTTTGCTATGTGCACCAAAACTATCATGTGGCTACAACTCAAAATAGGACCGGTTTAGCTAAGTAAACTGCATCACAAACCAGTTACAAAACCATGGCTGTACACGTAGCAGAGGCAGAGCTAAAACACTAAGTTATTTGTTGAAGAGTTAGGCAACATGCCATGTTTACTGTACCACACCAAATAAGGAGGAGATTTAATATTTATATGAAACCAACACTTTTGAGGCTGTCTTAAAATACAGGTATGTGTTTAAGTGCACTTCAGTAGAGAACTGAATACAGCAGCCTGAAGTTTTAAATTCACTGGATGAAATTACAACAGTCAATTTAACACTCAGTAAACTCCTCAGGTGAGCAGGTTTTTGGGGGGCAAGAAGTTTAAAATAATTGCTTTACATCACATCAAGAAATTCATGACAGATGCTTCACTTTCAGTACACAGTCACCATGTCCTTCATTTGGCTGGAATTAGCCAACAGTAGACCTCTGAAGCCAAATCCTATTCCTTCAATTGTTCTTGGTACTGCTTATGTGTAATAAGCATAATGAGGCTAGGGCTGGTGCTATTTAGAGAAACAAATTTATAGCTTCGTGTTCTTTCAGGGACCTTTACGTTTGGAAAGCATCCTTTAACAAGTATTTAACTTTTGATTAGTCACCTCACTACCTGGAACAAGCTTTAAATTCCCTTCAAGATTAAAGAACTAGATTTTAGTCTAGACAAATAAATAAATAAATAGGGCAAGGATCATTCTTTACACTATGTATGAGGAAGAGAAATTTATAAGGGACTATGTATGACCAAAGCAGCCACTCTTCTGTTGGACTGGTCTGTGCAGTTCCAAAAACCTAGACATAATTTAGTTACAGGACAACGTACTTTTAACTTTTACCAAGGAAGTCACATGCATTGTAAGTATAAGGGAAAATATGCACACACTCGGCTGTGCTGTTTTCCTGGTAACTGCAGTTTACCAGTTTAATATGAGAAATATGGTCAGTGTTGCTTTAGCAACATTCAGCCCTGCCTGGAATAGGTGTGGCATATTATAAATTACAGGTTCTGAGGGAAGAGGAACAAGATTTTAAACCCAGAAGATCCAGTGAGTAGAAGATGCTATTCTGACAGGTTCTCTCAGTCACCTATGGGAGCAGCAGTGTAACAGCCCACATTTACGATCTGCTGGCCTGACTGAAGTTGTGTGGTCACACATGTTGTAACATACTGCTTGTACTGTGACTCTTCACATTCAGTTGTTTCTTCAGTACATCCCAGACTTGTTACTACAATGCTTCAGAGAAAATCCCAGCTCCCGGAACATTTAAAGTTGTAGCACAGATTCCCACCATACCTAATTCAGGGATCAGGTCTGGAATCTGAAGTAGACTAGTTCTCAGCAGCTGAGCAAGTTAGTGTCAACAAGAGGCTTCAGACTGGGGAGTAGGAGAAATAGGAGCCTGCTCCCATTTGGGCAACTGCTGGTCACCCACATATAGGTTGCGGCCTATAGCTAGTTGCTTTGTCAGGGATCTAACTGGCATGCAGGATGTAAGTATTCTGCTTGAGGATTATTTTCTAGTAATGTGGTAGCAACTAGGTGAGCATCTCTTCATACCTTTTGGGTGCCAATATTCATAAGTTGAGTTGTGCCACCCAGCCGCTCGATGTCCTTGGCAGCAACTTCCATCATTCGTTTGATTTCATCCCTCTTCTCCGGCCATGCCGACACACTCTGGATTTCCACCCATTGGGCCAGCCGCTATTTATATGGGGGGGGGGAAGAGGAGGGAGGGTTTGAGTGGTTTACAGCATTCGTGTGCAATCCAGATTGTTCCCAGTAGCTGATGAAAGACTTTAGAAATACATTAATGTGCAAAACTGCCCCCGCCCCCGATATTAACCCTTTGTTGTACAATTTCATGTTTTACAAGGCTTGAAGTGATTGACTCTGGCCTTCTCTGTTTTAAGAGAGGGTCAATAATATGCTACGGCTGCTACAATTGGAAAAGCTTCCTGTAGAGCTGGCTTTTCAAGGACCCCCCCCCCAAAATCACGTACAATAGCAAGAGGAGGAAAATGTTCACTCTTTCCTGACTTAGTACTAGGGTGTAAATGCACTACAGCAAGAACATGCTGTACCTCAAGTCTATACAAGGTCTTTCTACCAGTGGTGCTTTGTTTCACCATCTTATGCCAGCTATAGTTTTCTGAAAGATATTAGTCCTTCGCCTTACCACCAGAGGGCTCAGGAATACAATCTTGGGCACCTGTGCGGATTACTCCTACATGCTTATGGACACAAGAGCTATACAAAGTTTAAGCTCTATATTGCAGTTAAGTCCCTCCAGAGTTTTTGATAAGAGAATTGCAATACGATCCTCATTTAGTAATGTGTGAAGATCTAGCATACAGCAGCCTATTTTCTACTGTCCAGATATTCCCAGAGTGATCAGACACATGTTGAAGGCATTAGCCAATGGAACGTTTGGTAATGCAGCGATATTTCCATTTTCTCCACATTTACTGAAGTAAGAGAAAGGTGTCATCAGCACAGGACTGGAATCTAGGACCTACCAAATCCTAATCCTGGCTCGGACACCAACTCCCTCTAGGTCTTGTTCACAGTGAGTTGTCCATTTTCCTCACTGTAAGAGCATTTACCTTGTAGGTCTGTTGTGAAATTCAGTCGCAAATTATTATTTTTTTTGTATAAAATTCTCCTACTTGTTCACCAGAAGTTTAGACATTTTACTATAATACAGTGGTATCCAATTATATTTAAAATTATGCTGTTTACAGTCTCTCCAACCACAAGTTACATGCCACTTAAAATCACTCGGAAACCCGTAGAACCAAAGGATACAAGTCACAAAGCTGACCTTTGAAAAGCATGTCAACAGATGAGATGGATTAATTTCATACAAATCTATTTGTCCTGTATTACAGTAGAACTAAGTCATTTAATAACTATGTGCAAGAATTTTTACCTGAACATAGAGATCCTGGTGTTCATCAATGTACTGAAAAAGCCTTTTAAGGACAGACATTTTCTGATCAGAATGAAGTCGTTGAAAACTCTAAGAGGAAAGAGAAGTAGTTCAGTGTCTAGAGCCTTAAGTGTGATACAGCCAAGCTGGCAAAGCAGTTCAGAGAAACCTACTTCCTCTTTAAAGTTTAACACTAGAGCTCCACCCTCCTTTGAAATTGCAACACTGCAAATCTAGTCAAGTCATGGGAGTCTGAGAATGTATGAGGCAACTTGCTGTGTCAGTCCAGAGATCACATGACAGGAGAGTGCAGCTGAATGGAAGCAGCGTTAACTCAATTCTTAACATACAATAAAGCAGTGACAAAGTTGGAGACCAATACTATGAACATGTAATTTCAATTGCGTAAATTCATTCTGTCAAAATAATTTAATTTGAGCAGTTATCAATTTAAAGCCAACTTATTCTACCAAGATCATGCATCTTGGTTGTTTTTTTAAACTTTATACACCTTTTGGTAAAGAGACACAGCAATTCCATTACAATATGTAAATATACTGTACTTTAAGTATAGCTTGAGTTGTAATTTTATTCTGTATTGGGTACTCTTGCCAAAGTTGTATTTTAAAGAAATAGGCAAGCTATGAAATGGAAGGAATTTAACATATTGCAAGTTTAAATGCAAAACAGCACCTAGATAGCAAGTGCTAGTATTTCTAAATACTGTGTTACCATTTACACTACACCAACTCTTGCCCCTTCTTGTACTCCTGCAAACTACTAGGACACCTGTATGTAGGAGCTGATAATTCTCTTATAAGCAGTGGAAAGGCTAAGAGACAAGAAACTTCCAGGGACAGTTAGTTTTATTATGTTTTGAAATTCTAGAGTGCCACTCAGCCTTCCAGAGTAGGCCAAGAATGTCTAAAAAATAGTTATTTGCTACAATTTATGGAGTCACTCAAAAGCAGTCTGCAAACTGATTGATCTCATCATGCTACTTAGCAAGAAATCAGTGCATAGCCAGATGATGCCATGTGACACAAGTCTTGAGTTTTATGCTTGACCAAGTTTTGTGGTGTTGGGAGGGGGTGGGGGTGGAAAATGAATCTTTAGTCTTCTAAAGGAATTTTATTCACCTCTGCCCTACCATGGCAATAATCAGCACTTTCTCTGTAGTTAGATTTCAAAACATTATATTCAAAATGATCTCATTCAACCCACCCAATAAATACCTCTTCTGTACAATGAGTAAAGTCTAGTGCAATATTAAGAGGATCTGACCTAAAAATGAAAAGCATTTCAGATAAGAGACTTAGCCAGGGATTTCTAGCTTTTTTCCCCCCTGCAATAAAAATAAGTTTTACAAATACTTCATGGGGTTGCATTTATTTCCAAATATTTAGATGCCAAAGTGTGCCAGCATCGGATGCGGTCTCTTGGACAAAAAACTTTGAGTACACAGTGAGCGTCTACATGGTAGAAATTGGCATTTTCTGCTTGTGCAAAAAAAAGTAACCAGCCTATTCAACAAGAAAAAAAATTGTACTGGAGTGTCACAGTCACTATGCTAGTTACCCCCACAAAAAACTCTATGACAGGCCCCCTTCAACAGAAGTTTTGTGGGGTCTCTTCAGCCTTCTCTCTCCACAGACAAAGCTGAACGTTTATGGAAATGCTGATAACATTTTGTTCAGCAATGAGAGAGGGTGACAGCACTACACTTTACTAAAGAGGTGTATGCCAGTAAATCAGATAACTTCAGTTTAAGGGTGCCAGTGCTTTCAACCTCAAGGAGGAGAAGTCAGTTAAGTAGAGATCTGCAAGTCTGCAGATATCTGCTTTATATCCATGGACCATGTTTGTGGGTCAGATGTGGATACAAATTTCATAATCTGCACAGGGCTCTACAGTTAAGCCATTTAAGTTTGGGGGCGGGGGGAAATGCTTCCTAACTGCATATTGTGGAACATTCTTTCCCCACTAGAATGGGAACACACAGAGGCATGAACTGCAGAAAGATATTTACATATTCAAATCCTAATGCCTTTCATCTGAGCACTCATTAACATGGTTAAACAGTTAACACGTAGACACTGTGACAAGATGTGAAACTTACTAAGGTCACTGAGCATTGAGGGAAATCTAGGATTCTGAGTACCTATGATTGAATTTGGTCAGAGCCCTGACTCTTCCAAAAAAAAATGCCACAAGTTCTCTAGTGACCACATATTTTCCATCTCATTCAGCAATCTAGCCCAAATAGCCAGTGCTTCAGCCTGGACCCAGAAGAAGGACTGCCATCTACACATATATATCTCTTGTTCAAATCAGGATCAAGTCAACTTAGCCCATCAGATATCCCAGAGAAGCCAACAAGCCAAGGCTGTGATAGCAACAGCCATCATCTCCAGGTGTAGTCAGTGAGCCTACTATGTGTAATCCACTATTATAATCCAGGGAGGTTGTGGAATCTCCATCATTGGAGATTTTTTTAAGATCAGGTTGGACAAACACCTGTCAGGAACAGTCTGGATAATACTTAATCCTACCATGAGTGCAGGGGACTGGACTGGACTAGATGACACCTCAAGGTCCTAGGATTATTCACTTGTGATTTTTCCCTTTTAAAAGGGAATTAAATGCAGAAAGTAATGTCAGTGCTTCATGGTTGAACTTTAAAAATTCTAAAAGACCAAACAATAAAAAAATACTGAGCTGTGGTTCCCATAGCAACACCAAGGGGTAAATGGTAATGTCTAGGATGTAAAGATACTAGGTGTTCAGTTAGGCAGAATTATGGTCTACATGGGAACCATGTTTGAGTCAGCTGGTAAAAATGTAGATCTCTACCCCCTACCTCAGAATTGGTTTTAAATCACACTTAAAAGTAATACTAGATCATGCTAGCCTTGTGGATCAGTACTGAAAGACCCAGGTCTATATTCTGGAAGGACCTTAAGATTCCTGCCCCCCAGACTTCCAAAGGTGATTGGCTAGGTATACCAAAGAAGACATGGCTAAAATATTAGACAGTTATTGATAAGTGTTACAAAGGAACCAGCTAAATACTATGAAGTACTGTCACTAGTTTCTCAGATTTCTTTTTGCATGACCACTGAGATTACACCATTGCATAAATTATGCTTTTCATAAGAGGAAGTGTGGCTTGACTGTAAAGTAGGAAAATGTGTTCTTCTCAGCCCACAGAATGGAGCCCCAGATGACAACACTGTTTGTGGGGGTCTATTTAATAGCACCTGCTCTAGGCTAGCTGGAAGCATTAGACCTATTCACAGCCAAAGTAGTTAGATATTCTGCTATTTTATACCACCATCTCTTTCGGTTTCGATGGGGGAACTGCCCTTTGATCCACAAATAATGCATTGCAAAGATGACACCCATTGACCAGTTTCCTGAAATGAAAGGCAGGAAAGCCTGAGTTTCTCAAGCTACAGACCCAGACATGGTGCATCACATGGTTACCAGTTTCCACGGTCAGTCAGTACCAGCCACAGGCTAGAGAACTAGGCATGAGGGCCAAGGCTAGATAGTGGGTCAGGACATTGAGTTCCCCAGATTTCTTTCACCAGACCGTTTAACCATTGGCAGGTCTGGGTATTTAAGACGCAGAGGTCGGAGGAGACAGCACACCCCCTAGTGCGAAGTGGCAGGCACGTCATGTCCCAATGTGGCCAGCAATATCCCCACCCACATCGAGAGCCCCCGGCCGCGGACGCGGAGAGGGCGGGTTAAGCGGTCCGGGTCCTGCTCTCAGAACAAGGGACGCTGAATTGGGGGGGGGGGGGGGTGAAGGGCAAGGCACCTGCTTGCGGCCCATGCATCTCAGAGAGGGATGCTGCCACAGAGTCATGCGCAGCCTGGCAGGGGGAATCCCCACCAAACACACACATCCTCACCCTACTCACCACCAAGCGTAGCGGGGCAGGTCTCCATCTGCGAGGCCGCAGGCCGCCACGCAGCAGCGACCTGCAGCCGCGGGACAGAATCAGCGCCGCGGCCATGAGTGACACCGCTTCCCTGTCAGCTGCTGCAGCTTACTCCCAGCAGCACCAGGGGGGATTTGAATGCCCCCTCCCCGCCATCTGGCCGCCCGGAGAATCATGGGGAGACGGGGGCGGGGGGAGAAACAGACAGAGCCTGAGCAAACTTTGCCAGACCGGGTGCAAAGTGACCACCAAAGCCCCGAGCTAGGGAGGCAGAGATAGGGCGCCCCACTCCGCCCCAGCGGGGGGCTGCCACTTACCCGGAGCGGCCTCACCACGTGGCACCGGGCTATGTCAGCAGAACAGGAGCCTTTCAGAACCTTATGGCCAGCTGGAGTTTAAATCCCCCGTGAGCCCGCCCCCTTGGAACGCCGCGAGCCCCAATCAGCGTCTCGCTTTGCAGCGCAAGGCAGAAGCAGGAAGGACTAGGAACGCGTCAGAAAGGAAGGGGGCGTGGTTATCTCCGGGGTGGGGCGGGGCAACGGGATTCACAGGGAGCGCCACGTTCAGGGGGAAAGGAAGGAGCTGGCCTGAGGCTGCGGCTCTCCGGTGACTCCTCTGGTGGGGTCGCGGCCCCTCATGCAGCGGAAGCCACAGCCAGGGACACGGGGATGGGAGCAGATACTGGGATCCTGGAGAACGGGAGGGAGGAGAATGTAAATTAATGAGGAAAGGATTCAGCTTGTCCCCTGCTGTGCACAATCTTCCATGGAGTCTTCCATTGCTTCTGGACAGGGCCCCAGAATTGTCAACCCCAAGTGTTCAAAAATCACAAATCAGTTAAAAACAAAACAACCAAACCCCATGAGATTAATGTAGAAATCATAGGGATTTTTTAAAATGGTACCTTTGGGGCTCTTTTTATTTGCCTTTTGGTTGTTTTGTCTTTTGGATGCACTCAGTTCATGTTTTAAGCTTCTCTTCACAACCATGAGGGCAAGAAAATTAGGGTTTGTTTTTAATAAAGGTGAAATTCTTATGTAATTGCATTATTCCAGCAGTTGGGTCTTTATGAAAAACATCAAATATTGTGAGATTTGCAATAAAGTTGTAATGTTGGTTACCCTGGATAGCTAAACAGTCTGTTCTAAAGATGGTGCCCATTACTGGGCAGTTCCGTCAGCAACTACATTTTCTGCATTGAGTATGAACTAGCATGGGGTTCCAATCCATCATCTCCTTTATTAAGAAAAATAAATACTTTGCCTTTATATAGTGTTTCATCCACAGATCTCAGGGCACTATATAAACAGTGAGGCATAATCATCCCTAATTTACAGATTGGTTAACTGACCTAGAAAGGGATTAGGTGACTTGTTCAAGGTCACACAGCAAATCAGTGGCACAGACAGAGAACTCGCATCTTCTGACTCTTAGCTCAGTGCCATATACATACTGTTGAGTGTGTGTAAGTGAGAAAGAAAGATATCACACTGAGGTTTGTGGATGTCGGTCTGAGAGAGGAAGTGAAAGATCCCAAGACAGCCTGTGTGTTTGTGAAATAGGTCCTGGTGGAAGGTACTGGCTCAGCAGCCATGGAGTTCTCATTTTATCAGTAAATAGGTACAGCATGAGTGGCAGTGCTGAAAAATTCCCCGGGGTGCCTTTAACTATATCTCAACCTGACCTGGAGGGTCTGTTTCTAGGGGTCTTCATAACCATTCAATCTTTGGCCTCTGTTGAAATTATCAACAAATGCCTCAATCCTGCAAATTGTTCCATGCAGGTGGACCCCTGTGTTCATGCAGAGATCCACTGAAGTCTGTAGGGCTCTGCACAGGCGCAGGACTCTGTGTGGAACCCCACTTGCAGGATTCAAGGGCAAACGCACATATTAGTGACAATAGTGGGAGTGATTTCTGTAGCTGAGAACACCTGCTCTCAGGGAAATGGACTTACTTCACTTATTAAGCCACCTAAAAGGCATCAGATCAGTATCGGGTTTACAATGGCACCAATGGGGCTGTACCCACACTCAGAGGGGCTCCGGTGCCCAGACCTTGCCCCCCCCGCTCTGCTCTGAGGCCCCACCCCCACTTGGCCTCTTCCCCCTGAGGCCCTGCTCACTACTTGCTCCTCTCCTCCCCACACTGCTCGCTCCTCTCTGCCCCTCCCCACACCTGCTGCTCGCTCCTCTCTGCCCCCTCGCCCGCATGCAGGCCACTGGCTCCTGCGAGCGGTGGGCAGGGCCTCAGGGAAAGAGGCTGAGCGGGGCAGGGCCTCAGGGCAGAGCAGGGGGCGGAGTGGGGCCACGGTCCAGGTGCTGGGGCCCACAGGTTAATCCGGCCCTGCATCAGATGTTTGGTCACTACAGACAGGAGATGGATTTAAACTGGTGACCTCTGTTGAAAGGTGTAAAAGCTCACTCGAGATCTCTATGAAACCTCTGAGGCCTCCAGTCCCTCAAACTCAAAATCCAAGGTGAAAATTTGTACCACTTAGATTTTAAGTTCTTTGGGGCTGAGGTTAGCATTCCATTATCTGTGTGTAGAGTGCCTAACAAAATGGGGCCCAGATCCCTTACTGGGATATCTCGGCGCTGCCAGAGTACAATTAATAATGAAGTGATACCAACTGAGCAAAACTAAAACGAATCAAGAACTAAGATCCTGTTTCATAGAGGGCTAGGTCAGTATAGCTACGTCTCTCGGAGGTGTGGATTTTTCACAGCCCTGGGGAACGCAGAGATACTGATGTAAGGTCCTAACGCAGACCAGGCCTCAGGTTCATTCTGTTCCGGTGTTGGTGGCTCTTTGTATTTCAAGCCTATTGGTAGGCCTGGCCTGATATGAATAATTAAATACATGGGGTAAGGCCTTAATTTTTTGGAAGATAGGATTAGGGAGGTAAATTATAAAGCTGAAAACAGGATGTTTATGCTAAGTAAGATAAGTAAATAGGTCAATAGACTAAACAGACAGGCCTGGTCTACACTAAAAAATTAGGTTGGTTTAACTACAGCCATCAGGGGTGTTAAGTTCTCGTGTAGACAACGCTAGGTGGACAGAAGTATTCTTCTGCCAACCTAGCTACTGCCTGTTAGGGTGGTGGATTACCTACAAGGATGGGAGAACCCCTCCTGTCGGCATAGGTAGTGTCTACAACACACTGAAGAGCTACAGTGGCACAGCTGCAGCAGTGTAGCTGTGTCCCTGTAGCCTTTTAAGCGTAGACAAGCCCTAAGATAAGAGGGAGGACACTGAGGGAACCATTTACTAGGAACAAGATAAGAATGGACAAGATACGTCAGGAATGTAGAAATAAGTTAAAGAGTAAGTGGAGCATCGACAGCGCATGCTGCACAGTGATTGATTCCTGTAAAGTAATCAAGCCAATTTACAATTGTATAATGCAATGCATAGGTGCCGATTCAGTGGGAGCACCCACAGAAAAAAAAATGGTGGGTACTCAGCACGCTCAGGCAGCCCCCCTATCAGCGCCTCCCCCCTTCCGCAATCAGCTGTTCCACAGCTTGCAGGAGGCACTGGAGGGGTAGGGGGAAGGAGCGAGGGGAGGGGGCAGAACAGGGTGGGAAGAGGCAGGGCAGAATGGGGGCAGGAAGAGGCAGGGAGGGGGCAGGGCCTTGGGGGTAAGGGTGGAGTGTGGGTGGGGCCTGGGGCGGAGCCGGGAAGCACCCCCGGAACATTAAAAACTTGGAGCATATGATGCAATGTATAGCAAATGCAATAAGATGTGTAAACGTAATAAAGAAAGAACAGGAGTACTTGTGGCACCTTAGAGACTAAGGTGCCACAAGTACTCCTGTTCTTTTTGCGGATACAGACTAACACGGCTGCTACTCTGAAACCTGTAATAAAGAAAGAGAGTTTTTGTGTAATTCTGGTGCTGTCATGTACACAGCATTTACTGCCCGCCTCCCCGCGTTTAAGTCTAATCACTGAAGCATTGCTGTATGCCAGATAAAGATAACAAAGAGTAACAAAGTTTGAAGTCAAACTGAGTTTTTGGGAAGCCAAGTGGAAAGAGGTCTTGGAGGGAATCCCAACAAAGCCCAGTTCTCTGATTAATGAGCCTTGTCTCCCATTGAATGCGACTGATTGTTAGAGTGAAAGGAATATTTTTGTCATATATAAACTGATAGAAAATTGATTTTTGTGTTGGGTTTATTTAGTTTTCTGCATACAATGGCTTAAGTGAACTAGTGACATTTAGTTTAAAAGACTATCATGTTTAGGGTGAAATCCTCATCCAAGGAATGCTATCTTTAACCCTTTACATATTTCATGCCAAGTCTGCCTATCAAAGAGATTCTTGTGTACCTACATACATAGTATACCTTCTGATAGTTTGATTACAATGACATTGCTTACCTTAAATATATTAATCCCAGGGTAATGACTTGGAAGGTTTAAGGTACTGGTTTCAGCAGGGTCCTCTCTCCTTTCATATCTTCCGGTGACTAGGAAGGCTGCTGAAGTTTAAAGTCTGGAGGTTGTACTTGGATCAATGAATGTACTGGTATGTTACTCAAGCCAGCACATTCAGGTGACACAGTATGTGCTTCTGCCTCTCTGTCCTCATAGCTCTGTCTCTCTCAGCCACTTCCCAAGATAGCAGGAAGTGCTCTCAAGCTGTCTGCTTCACACATACATGCAACTGCATCACACGTTTCCTGAAAGCAATTTAAGGGCACAGTGCACATGTACAGTTATATCTGACTATTGTAAGGCTAAGGGGCACTTTAATAGACTCATAGGCTTATTCCCCTCCAGTGGGTCTATTACCATTGGGAATACCACAGTACAAGCCTTGTTAAAATTCTGTGCCCCTCTTGTGTCCTTCGGCAGCCTGAAATCTACTTAAATTGCTGGTGTGCTCTATTATTGAACACACATAACTGGTTTTATGGGCTTGTTAGCTATCTATCAGATTTATGCAGTTTCAGTCCATTCACTGACCTCTATGTCTATCCCTTTCTGCAAACAGGCACGTGAGTATGAGCAGAACCATGTGGATTCTGAGTTATGAACTCTCAAAACCTGTGAGACTTGCCAGCTTTTGTTCCAAACTCTGCACCCAGGCCAGGCTGGTAAATAGGCTCTTGGAATTTCAAACCTTTTGTGCAAACATGGACCATGCCAGTTTATGACAACCCCTTCCTTCCCAAAGCTCTGAGGAGAGACTGCTGGGTGTATTTGACAGAATGCAAAATTTCCTTTTGTTTTCGGGTTTGGTTGAACTGAAACTCAAAGGGAAACGCGGCAGGGGTTGGGGACACCCACTTAAACTGAAACAACCAAACATGATTGTATCAATCTAATATAATTGAGGCACTTCCACTGCACCCATCCTTTTGGCATCAGTACACATTAGAAACGTAGGACCAGCGCCTCAGCTAGTATAGCTCCACTGAAGGCAAAGAATACTGTAATGTCCCAGGCATCTTTCAGGTAAATTATTCTAAAGAAAAATAGTGGCATTTTGAATATGGCCAACCCCATGTGTTTAAAAAGTATGAGTCAGGCCTCCCAAAATCATGAGACTGGCTTAAAATCCATCCTCAGCCCTCCTCACAAATGCTGCTCCTGTTCCCAGACACCCTGTCTCAGTAGCTGCTGGGCCAGGTTTTTCTGTAGATATTGCTGCCCCTTACCTCAGTTTCCTCCCTCCCACCCCCCTGCAGGTGATTAGGTTACAGCTTCTACATTTAAAAATGCACTCAGTCAACCTGCTGCTCCCTCAAGTCCTCCTGCTCTAGAGTCCAGGTGACCTTGCCTCCTCCAAGGCCAGGCTCCAATGATCATTGGCCTCTAGGGGGCACCGCTCTAGGAGACAGTGGATTTAGAGGTTTCTCTTCTTAGCACCAAGAGCATGCAAGCATAAGACAGAACAGAAAGGCTCTACTATACACTGCTGGCTGGCTCTTCATCCTTTTCTTCTCTCCATTGGCAGATCTCCCTTTGTCCTCCCCTATAAACTCTGTTCCGCCTAGACTGCATGCTGTTACAATCCACACTTTCTGCATCCTGCTGACAGGATGCCGCAGCACCACAGTGAGGCTTCAGCTAACCTGTGGGAGCACAAAATAAACCTGGATATCCGACTGTCTCTCTCGAGGGATGTCTGAAGGCTAGAGACAAGGTGACTGCTCTAGAATTAATGTGTGGGTTGCCAAAGTGTTAATGTCGTTTTGGCATGTTATTCCACATTGCAGTGCCCTAATGTGGCCCTGGCATGGTCTGTACAGGCAGGCTTTCTGGGATCTCAGGCTGTGAACTGCCTTCCCCCTTCTGATTTGACTGACACAAGTGGGTGGTCTGTCAGTAAGTTGTTTCTTCCCCAGGACTTGAGAGGACTGGTCCATGGGTTGCAGAGCCAGAATGTTTTGTAAAGTGTCCGACCTGAGGCCCAAAGTGGTTGCTTGCTGTACTCAAGCTTAAGGCCAGTCTCAGTAGTACTCTACAGTGGAGTGAAGATTTGCACCTGTGTCCATCTGTTCAGCAGTTGTCCCACTGCTCAACAGCCACAAGTTTAGTTCCTGCTTCTGTCTGCTCCTCTTGTTACTCTGGGTTCATAAATCCAGGAAACAGGTCCAGCACAGACAAAAATAGTGGAGTATTTGTAACATGACAGAATGCTGGATGAGAACTGCAGCGGGCAGGCAAGCCAAGAGTCAGTGGCCCAAGAAAACGGGATGTGGCTGCAAATTAGTCCCACAAATTTGGGACACAGCTGTAGCACAGATCTTCACTTTGGAATGACTATGTAGCTCACAGGCCAGAACGTTTACCCTCTTGCCCCTTGATCTGAACTATGCATCTTTTTTCACCAAGTCAGACACTCTGCCCAGTCTATCCTCAAACAAAGTGCCTAGATGCTGCTGTGAGTCTCAGGAGATGTCATTTTCAATTTCTCACAGTGTATGTTTTAGAGTGTCGGGAGATTTGATTTCAGTCTTTTATAAAATGTTGATTTGCCAAAGTACTAGAGAAATACTAAAGAGCCTTGGACCATGCCACATGCTGTCAAAGTTTAAGTGCTTCCACAAATGAAATGTTCAACTTTCCTTCCATGTTCCAGCTCTGCAGTGGTGTTCTACTATGCCTGTTCCAGGCCCAGTGTGATTCCTTACTCCATCATTTTGTGAAGCTGCCCTATACCCAGTTTAGGGATCACATCCAGAATAAGCTAGGCTACAAACAAAACTCCCCTGTGATATTCACTTTCGGGTAGTGTCATCTTCCCATAGATAGCTTACCAAGCCTTTCTTCATGGCAAGGAAATACTGTCTGATTTTAAAATGGGCTGAGAGCAGAAGAGCAATGTATTTATATACAAAACCATAGGACTTGCCATATCGGACCAGATTAATGGTTCACTGAGTCATGGCTTTTGTGTCCGCTTCTGTTGTTTACATTTATAAATGAAAAGTAACTTCACTGAAGTCAATGAAGTTATACCAAAAAAAGTAAGGTCGGAATCAGGCTTCCATCTCCAGAAGAGGCCTACACTTAATGATTCAAAGGAAAATCAAACTCTCCTACAATGCACATAGCCGGCTGGGGAGAGAGAATTGAGAGATACAATGGGAGCAGGAACAAGATAAATGAGACATCTGGACAACAGAGGGAAACAATGGAAGAAAAGGACAAAACAGAGAAATATAGGGAAAAGTGAAAAAGATGAAAATATAGAAATAGCTAGAAAATGGATTGAAACTGAAGAGGCAGAAAGCAGAGGAGAAGAAAGGAAGATAATAAAAATCCATCTCATCAGACAGTTTCTTGGGAGTCTCAGGCAGGGGGGCTGTCTCCCAAGAAAAGCCAATTAAGTTCTCAGACATGCAGGAACAAGAGACCAGGGCTTCATCACACAAACAAAGGAAGAATTAAGGATTGTATGAAGTCCTGCTTGTGGGAAGAGGGACAAAATCTGGAGCATCTCACACAAACTGAGACAGATGACAACTAGCGCATTCCTGTAGGGCTGAATATCCTGAGCACATTTCTCATCATGTCACACACATCCTTCATAACAGGGATGCAATCAGAAAGCCAAAAAAAGCCCATTGAAATCAGCAGAACAACTTCCATTGACTTCAGTGGCCATTGGATCAGACCCACAGCAAGTGAAGCTTATGCATAATTCTCTTGTATAGTGTTTTTCAGCCAGGTCCCAAAAGGCAAAGGTGTCACCAGGCATTGAAAAATGTTGTTAGAGTTTAAAGCAAAGAAAATCTCACTCCCCCACTCCCTACACACATTTATCCTTCAAGGTCAAGTATTAGCTGTCATCCTCTTGAAACACACACAAACCAACTATATAGTCTTATCATTATCACTTACACTTTTTTTTTATTCTTGCTTTTAACGTAAATGTAAGGAGGTCATGACAATTGAAATAAGGGGTTGCCAACCTGAAAAGACAGAGAAACACGGCTCCTATAGAAATGTTAGGCACTCAATGCCAGCTCCCCATATCAGCATAGGAAAAGATGTGGAGATGTGTGAAATTGCCTGGAAAACACATCTGCAAAGTAAGCCTAACAAAGTGTTTTGTCTTTGTGACTGATGGTCAAAATCTCCCCTGTGCACATTATTCCTGCATAGGGGAGGGGAAATTCAATGAACAGCAGTTTGTGAAGTTTCTTTGCCATTATTTCTTGGGGATCAAAGTTTGCCCCCTGTGGAAGTGGCCAGGGGTTCTGCTTGAAACAAGGAGCATCTGTGTACTTGTCCTTCATCCATATGGCCCAGGAAGCAGGGGGTTCCCTCTCTCAACCCTGGGTGCTCCTGGTGCCTTTTTCAGGGCAGCCATAATGGCGTTTCCATAGGGCTGTCAATTAATCGCAGTTAACTCACGCGATTAACTAAAAAAAATTAATTGCGATTAAAAAAATTAATCACGATTAATCGCACTGTTAAACAATAGAATACCATTTGAAATGTATTAGATATTTTCGGATGTTTTTCTACATTTTCAAATGTATTGATTTCTTTTACAACACAGAATACAAAGTGTACAGTGCTCACTTTATATTATTATTTTTATTACAAATATTTGCACTGTAAAAATAATAAACAAAAGATAGTATTTTTCAGTTCATCTCATACAAGTAGTGTAGTGCAAATCTCTTTATCATGAAAGTGCAACTTACAAATGTAGATATTTTTTGTTACATAACTGCTCTCAAAAACAAAACAATGTAAAACTTTAGAGCCTACAAGTCCACTCAGTCCTACTTCTTGTTCAGCCAATCGCTAATACAAACAAGTTTGTTTACATTTACAGGAGATGCTCCTGCCTGCTTCTTATTTACAATATCACCTGACAGTGAGAACAGTCATTCACATGGTACTTTTGTAGCCGGCGTTGCAAGGTATTTATGTGCCAGATATGCTAAACATTCGTATGCCCCTTCATGCTTCAGCCACCATTCCAGAAGATATGCTTCTATGCTGATGATGCTCGATAAAAAATAATGTGTTAATTAAATTTGTGGCTGAACTTCTTGGGGGAGAACTGTATGTCTTTGGCTCTGTTTTACCTGCATTCTGGCATATATTTCATGTTATAGCAGTCTCAAATG